GGGGGGGACAAGAGGAAAAAATGAGAACCAAGACCTGTCATGTAAAGGTACAAGATCCCAGTAATGAATGTAACTGTACTGTCTACCTAGAATGTACCAATAAATTCAATTAAAAATATTATAATAAAAGGTACATTGCCATAAAAATATTTAATTGTGCAACATTTCAACTGTATGCAGATAACTGGGTGCTGACATCTTGCTATATTTGTCTTACATTAATTCATTTACAAAGTGAAATAATACATATAAAACTCAACTCCTTCTTTATTTCCCTCCTTTCCTCTTTAGCTGTAACCACTATTCAGAAGTCAACGCACATTTTATATGTTTATATCTATTTATTACCATAAACAACATGACATATTACTTTAATGTTTTTATAGCTATGGTATTGCTTTCCACCTGTTACTTACCATAACAGTTTTCAGCTTGCTTTTTTCACTCAGTCTTATGCTTTTGATATCTGTGATGTATGCAGATATAGCATGATATCTCATGTATAATGAATCTTAGGCTTAACTAACCTATGACTTGGCAGTTATAAGGTGTCCAGCTTTTGCTACAGCACATACACTGAGCCAAATTTTCAAACAGTCCTTGAATGCAGAGGGAGATACTTTTTGTGAAATATGGAACAAAGATCCATTCGGCCTAAGCAGAAATTTAGAAGAACATAGTTGATGGAACTGAGATGGCTCCTGCCAACTGGAAGGCTATACATAGGGACACAGTCCAAGAGCTTGATAAGCAACCATTATATCTAAAGTATGTTACTATATGCTACATTCCAGGAAACACAAACTTTCAGGAACAGAGTGTAGAAAGATTTTTTCTTCAGCAAAGTGAGAATGAAAATGTCACTGGCAGCTTCATGAAAACAGAGCATTTATAACAGGTAGTACAGCAGTCAGAGAGCAACAAAAAGAACAAACTCTGGAGCCTGCCAATTTAAAGCTTTTCCACAATGAGCAACAATATTTTCTTGAGGGCTACTTTGACATCCTTGTTCCGTAAGGTGTAGATGAGAGGGTTCAAGGCAGGGCTCACAGTGGAATACAGTACTGCCAGAACCTTGCCAATCAATGGAGAGTAGCTGGAGTTTGGACTCAGGTAGGCATAGATAACAGTGGAGTAATACATGGTGACCACTATAAGATGGGAGGAGCAGGTGGAGAAGGCACGCCGCTTCCCCTCTGCTGTGCGAATCTTTAGTATGGTTGCAATAATGAAACCATAGGACACTACAGTAAGCAAGAAGTTCACATCAGCAAAGAATATGTCAGCCACAATTGTCATGACATCATTCACATATGTGGAAGAGCAGGAGAGCAGCAGCAGAGGGGGGATCTCACAGAAGAAGTGATTGAGCACATTGGGCCCACAGAAGGTTAACCGTAACATCAGGCATGTATTGACCACTGCACCAAACATGCTGATACCCCATGTGGCTCCAGCTAGTGCTGTACACACACTGGGGCTCATCATGGAGCCGTAGTGCAATGGCTGGCAGATGGCCACGTACCGATCATAAGCCATGGCTGTGAAGAGCAACAGTTCTGCTGCTACAGACCATGTCAAGAAATACATCTGGGTCATGCAGGCCCTGTAGGAAATGCTTGTCTCGTTACCCACCAGAGTCTCCAGCAGTTTGGGCACCACAGTGCATGCACAGACAACATCCAATATAGCTAAGTTGACCAGGAAAAAATACAAGGGGGTGTGGAGTCTAGAGCTGAAGGTGACAACTGCCACTATGAGGGAATTGCCACAGAGTGCCATCATGTACAGGGAAAGAAAGAGAATTAAGAAAAGAACCCTGTACTGCGGCCTTTCTGAGAAGCTCCACAGAATGAATTCTGTCACCAGTGTCTGATTGCTCATGGATGTTTGACTCATCTTTCAACCAAATTACCTATGCTAAGTTTTCTCTTGCTCCATTGTTGACTAGACAGTACAAGTTCATAAGTACTGGTCAATATATATGCAACAATCTCATAATTTAAAAATTTTCCAGTTTCTCTAGACCATATAATCCTTTTGCTCAAAACAATCATTACTCTGGGGCCAGTAAACTCTATGCTTCCCTGGGGCCTTTAAGAACTGCAGATATGTTTGGAATTTTATCTCCTTTAGTTCTTTAAATTTTTATCTCAAAAAATAATTTTTGAAATTTTATGCACTTTTATTATAACCATATAGAAGTGTAAACAATATAGCATTTCATAGCAAGAAAATAAGATGCGCTCCAACTTCCAAGTCAATGGGCATTCTTTCTGGATGTCATTGATCTCATATTGCAATACATGCTCTTTATTTTGGTCCATCCATAATAACTTTTAAAGATCACTT